CATTGACTTGAATTTTGTCACTCTATAATGTGATGCAGTCCACATGCCTTTCTGAGATAGAAGTTTGCATTGCATTGTGGGTTAGATTTGGTACAAATATCTTTTGTTCATGCTGCCCAATATGGTGTTGTCTGTACTGAAGCTAGACCACAATGCACCATGATATTGTATTTCAGAAATTAATGGTCTATGTAATGGTCTCCTTCAAGTTTCCCTGCACCACCTTGAAATTTAGCAGAGCCTTTGCATCAAAACAAGACRATCGTTGAGCATGCAATAATAGATACCTGTGAATAATTGTCTGTAGATGTGAAAGGAGGTGTCTATCATTGCACGCTATAAATCTTCACAATTGTCTGGCTACTAAATTTGGCATGTTTTGTCTTTGTAATAGTGAGCAAGATAAGGTAAAGGTAGCCCAAGGTGTATCAGGATCTGTTGTAGATAAAGGATCCATTCACAAGTTTATGCCATACTTAACTGCTGGGATTCAACATGGTTGCCAAGATCTTGGTGCGAAGAGTCTTACTATTCTAAGGTAAGTTAATTATCTGGATACATGTATATCATGTCAAGTCTGCTGCATATATGGATGCACTTAATGTACAGAGTTCTGATGTACATATCTCTCTTGTTCACGTCAGAGAAGCTTCATTAATTGTGTGTAACACCTAATGGTTTTTTATGAAATTGTTTTTTTTAAATACCACAAGAAGTCTGAGTTAGTGAGTAGTAAAATGATCTCATGACTTTGTTAGGTTTAGAGTTTGACATTTGCAAAGTACTATATAGGTTTCAACCTTCATGCTCGCTGTCAAAAAAGTTAAAGTCTTTGAATGTTCTGAATGAGTATTTACATGAAAGATGCCTGTGTGTGTACATCAGGGCTATTTACATGCACACCCATATAAAGTAGTTAACAACATATCCTTCACTGTATGTCAAAGCAGATTTCTGGAGTGTTATACAAACTAAAGCTCAGCTAACATGCTGTGACATTCCACTCCATTCTTTAGTTGTGGTTATATCTCAGTGTATGTTTTCTATGGCATTGTTGCCAGCCAAGGTTTTGTGAAACGTCTGATAACATGAATTTAAAATTAATTCTGGAACAACTATTTCCATTTCGTTTAGAACAATGATGTATTCTGGTGAACTGAAATTTGAAAGACGATCAACATCATCTCAAATAGAAGGAGGGGTCCATGGACTGCATTCGTAAGTATAATTGTTCAATTACTGGGGTAGTTTCCTTTGCAGTACTTCTTTTTTTAGGCTTCATGATTGACACATTGACTGACTCCTTGATACAATGACTGACACATTGACTGACTCCTTGATACAATGACTGACTGACGCATTGACTGACTCCTTGATACAATAACTGACTGACACATTGACTGACTCCTTGATAGAATGACTATGACTGAACACCTGAGCAATCAATCAATTTTTTCAAACTAAATAAATATACCATTTAAATGGTGCCAAAACTGCAACAAAGCAAATTAATCCTTTGGTATGGTTTTAATTTTTATTTAGAGACAAGTTTACTGCAATATTTTAATTTGAAACTAGAACATTCCCATTATGATTTCATCTACATTCTATTGTTGTTGTTTTGCTTCAAAGAAGTGCAATTAAAATAATGTTGTTTTGCTTCAAAGAAGTGCAATTAAATTAACGTATGAAATCCAATTCTCTTTCCCTCAACAGGTATGAAAAGAGGCTCTTTTAACATTCTGAATTCATGGTTTAAACTATCCAATTATGATCTCAATTAATAAGGAATCAATTACTTCAAAGATGTAAAACCCAGATTATTATTCACATATAAATATTATTAATTAGTATTCACTGATCGATAGTTGAAGAGAGAGCACCAATAAGATATAGATGTCCTTTGTTTTTTTCATGGTTTTTTCATGGTTTTTTATTTATTTTTTGTAATTATTTACAGYGTAGAGGATGATCATTTTTGGTTAATATTCTGTTGACATAAAATGTTTCTGTTTAAACTAACTTAAAGAATTATCACTCTAAATATCAAAGTACTTAGTTTGAGAAATTTAATAGAAATAGAAATAAATCCAAATATATTCTAATTGGTCTTATTTAATCTCGGAATTACAATGTTGCATAGTCTTTTTCATTCAGCATTAACAATTATCCTTGTTAGAGTGCACGCTACCAAAGCATGAAACAATTCTTTTCAAATCAACAGCTAATAAGATAGTAAATCAACTAAGTATTTACTGCGGGGGTCTGAACACAATGCCAGAAAGGAAATTGTCTTTGTTTCTGCCTCGCTGAATGCTTCGCTAATTAACTTAACTTAATCTTAGAGTGGCTGCACTTAATTTGTGAAAAGGAATTAACTTCTTTGTACTACTTTGTGCGACTTACAGTGATTTTGTACAACAACAATATGGTGATTCAAAGGCAGATTTGTTGTATTTTTGTGCTCTTTAATTTGTACAATTTCACAGATTAAATACAATTAAACTGAGTGTTTATAGGCAGATATTTTAAATGTCAGATTGGAGAGTGAAGACAATTAACCCATGAAACAAATAGTGGTAAAAAAAAACCATGAAATTACATGTTTATTAATGTGCATGCTTTAGCCTAGGCTCTCATTGAATTATGTTATTTCAAGATAAGCCACTGGCAAACATCTCACTGATACACCAAAAGATTGATTGGAAGTCATTTTCATACAATTGAATTGACCTCAAGTGTGTGCAGTGATTTGTGCTAATTGTTTTTGTTCATAGTGGTGACAATTAATGACAGTAAAAAAAAACTAGTTCAACAAAGTAAAAAATTACACCTTCTGTATGGCTGCATCAATAGTGAGAGTAAATACCAACCTATCAGTTTCCTTATTAGCCATTTTTATGTCATGAAATGAATTGTAATTTCTGTCATATTGAGCCAATCGAAAAACTAACCATATCACTAAAAAGACTTTATCGACTTTAGTGTAGGTTYCAAGTTACAGATCATTTGGACAAATATTCAATTAATGAGAAGCCGTGCAATTTACAGAGAATGTAYGGGGATTTTGACCGCGTCCCCCAAAACAATACATTCTCTATTAATTTGATGAAACTAGGAATAAATACTGTTCAGCTAGTTTTTATCCAAACGTTTTGAAACTTGGTATATTTACTACTTTTTGGGTTTCCTTTCATCTGGTGGGGTTTGTTTYGTGATTAGATCAATATTTCTTTGATTAGTGCCCAGTCCCCTGCGCAACGTCGAAATGGCTAATACTCTTTTTTAGAGCAATTTTTTGCTATACTTTTGAATTTTGAACAATCACGGACTAGACAGATACATCCAACCATTTAATAATGGCTGGTGATTTTTTTTGTGGCGTTTTTGTGTTCACTCTTTCATCATATTTATAAATAATTTCAAATGTATGTTTTTAGAATCACGATATTCTTACTTGTAAGCCGGCATGTAACTATTTAGTAGATCAATTTGATACTAATAACATTGAAAAATAATAAAATGGAGGAATTTGATCTCTACCATAGTGAATTTGTAAATATATTGTCTTATAAAAAGTGCTTACAGTAAGTCATTTTCATGTTAGATAGGATTTCATAAACCTGTCAACAAACCCCGGGGGTACTCCCCTATATTCGCTATACTGGGACATGCCGCCAACCAGGGTATCGTTTTTTACTCTGGAACAGGCCATCATTTTTAGCAATTTTACTTTGGGACAGGTTATCGGTTTCACCAATTTTTCTCTGGAACAGGGTCAGGGTTTAATTCCGGAATTATCGATGCTGGGTAAAAATTCATGCGGTAAAAATTCGGTCTACACGCAGGCAAGTGCTGGATTTTCTCTGGGACAGGATATCGTTTTCAGCGATTTTACTCTGAAACAGCGTATAGTTTTCAACGATTTTACTCTGGAACATGGTATAGTTTTCAGCAATTTCACTCTGAAACAGGGTCAGGGTTTTGAGGTCCCAGTGGCACACCCCCACCCA